AACCTACCGTACCCTCAGCTTTGACCAGTAACATATTAATTTCTTCACTCCAGTCAATCGAGTAGAATCTCTGCATTGAGAAAAAAATTTTTTTTCAGGCGATTTCGCTCAGCTGAGGAGGTATAGCAATTTTCTTGGATCTATTTCAATTAGCGCACCCGCATCTACATTGATCACTATAGAGCAATCAAAACGTTAATATAGCAATATACCGGCTGCTATCATCGAACCAACCGTCTTGTTAGGTTTGCCCGGAAACCTATGAATTTCTTTTTCGATCCAGCGGAATGTCCACATTCTGAATATCATGCATCTTTCTGTGAAATTCGGCTTACTTGAGGAGATATAGCTATTTTCTTTATGTTGCAAATTTGCCAAATAACATATGAATTTTTTTTGCATCATTCCATTCAATTGAATCTCTACATTCAGAAAAATACATATTTTGCCGAGCAATTCCGCTTTCTTGAGAAGTAATGGCTACGTAAAACTATTTCAATAACCAGCGCAAAATCGCTGATTCATATACATTCTATCATTAGAGATCCATGTCTCTATAGGCTACTATAGCTCTATGGATGTTACGATCTTCAAGGTAACCGTACTCTTAAGTTTGCCCAATAACACATGAATTCCTCGGCACCATTCAATTGCTCAGAACTTCTACATTCAGAATATTATATATTTTGCCGAGCAATAACGTTTAGTTGAGAAATTCATATGCTATAAAATAGAGAAAATAACTATATCTCCTCAACTTTTTAGCTGTATCTAAGCCAAGATTTCCTGTATCTGAGCCCGTCATTCCTGTATACCCCTATGAAAACCACTGTGCTACAGCATACGTTTTTACCGTAAATAAGTGCTGTAAATACGTAGTAACAGGATTCTTTGTGTTCAATTTCCGTTCATCGTTCAACGATCACTTCTCAACTCGATTCAACAAATATCGTAGAGCACATCATTTATGGCTGACATTATAACCTAATAACAATGGCAAATTAAAACAACTACTTTCTAAATCATCTGAAAGCAATGAACATCAATTACATGGTCATTACATTCGTCATCGAAGGTGTCATCGTTCTCGGAAAGACGAACACAATCATCTGAGTAATGCATCATAAACAGAAAAACAAATAAATTGAACTGACGAAAAGAAGCGCTCACAACAGCCAATCACAAGCAGTACAGCATCACTTTTATGCTTCAAGTACGCATTACGATACTGTAACAACTAAGTTGTAGCTATGAAAGCATACAGTATCTTTTCTTTGATGACTTGCAAAAAACTTTTGCAAATACTACTGAACAATTTAAATTTCATCGATGAATANAATGTCTTTTTCATTGACTGGATGTGAACGATGTTCATTAGTGTGATGCCCACTGAAACGCCCTGGGATTTATGCATATGCGTGCCGTTGTGAGCTGAACGACTTCTTCTGATTGCACTTCTTTGAAGTATCGATACAACTAAATACAATACGAACGAACGAACAAGAAATCGCGATGAACAATAAACAAATGTTGCGAAACAATCACTTAACAATGATTATTATGACATTAATCATATTAACGCACTGATGAATTCAAATGCAAATTTATTAACTATTCACAATCGATTGGATTCTTGCAGTACGCATTCCGACCATCTGCAAGTATACGAATACCGTGTGGACATCTTCGCCTGCCTAGCGAATCACGAACGGCAATACATTCGGAGTTTGCCAACGCTTGTGGTGCTGAAAAAATGACTGCTTAATAAATTGAGCATCATATGGTGATTAGATTAGCCGAGAAACTGATCGAGCGATTTTGATGATCAATTCAGTAGAATTGATCAAATACCAAAGTTCACTGATAGTCAATGGACGATGAAATATCGCGCATTAGGCCACTTGAACAGAACAGAACAGAACTTTAGCACTACATCAAGAGGCACATGTTTCTGGAGGAAAGAACAATTTTAAAAGAGTTTCACAGAAAAAACAACTCACGATGCCTGCACATGACTGTTTCTTTCGGGCATTTACGCACGTCTTTACGATCTTTGCATTTCAAGTAACGATGTCGCATTTGTGTTGCATTGTTAGCACATGACGACCACATTGTGTATTGCAATGATTTCGCATGATTCAATGGATCATCCTATGAATGAAATCTTCTCGTATTGCCTTTTAGATGATTGATTCAAAGAAGTCACTTGCAATAATGCAGAAATTTTTGCATCCATCTTTAAGGTATCAACACCAAACGAGACGATAAATAAGTGGAACAGTTCGGATCGAAGAGAATGTAGCAGCTTTGTGCTCACTAGACAGGTGAGAAGAGAAAAACTCACTCGAAGTCGTGTTGGCTTTGAGTCGGCGAGAGTGTCAGAATTGTCACGTGGAACGTCTAAATAAATCATCTCCACATCTGGATCTTCCGCGACGAATACATCTGGTTGGGTATCTCGACTTTCGGAGTTCAATAAGCAATTCTGAGAAAATGAAATAGTTCTCAAGAGATGAAAGAGGTTCTTGAAGATATGATATTTTGTGCTGTATATGAAGCAGCCTTTGGTCCACATTCTGATAATTGTTCAGTAATAGGCAACGGTTTTTTTTTTGTTCTAATTTCAAAATTTTCCAAATTTTTCATACTCTCCTCATAAATTTCAAAATTGCACGCAATGAGTTAATGAAAGCCCGTTGTTTTTCTTAACAAATCGCGATTCATCGATGCTAAAAAACAGTAAATTTAAAAACAAAACATAGATGAACTCATTGAAATTGCTGAATGAACGACTCGAGTTCGGTCTGTGGATGAGCATAAAAATCTGCGAACATACCTGATCTTCATCATTTGGATACCACATAGCTGATTTGCAAGCAAATCCAAATTCTTCCTCAGCACGCAGACATGCGATGACACAGTCGGTCAACGACGGTGCGTCGGTCACCTCAATAACGTGACCTACCAAAATATGATTGCTTACCACCGGCCATATTTTCCTGGTCTTTTCGGCTAATGCAGACGGGAGGCATAACTGAAAATACCCGTTCCGTTACACATCTTATTGCTGGTGACGAGCTGTTCAATCGCAATTATTCACCGACTGGGATGTTTGCAACAAATATAATTTCGGAATAATCGAAGAATTCCACTTCAAAATCACTGCAGTGGCAAATATGTTCATTAACGACAGTAGAGTTTTACCTTCTCAAGATATGTACTATTGCGATTCGGTGTCAACTCGCCAGATTTACGATGATTAACAGGTAATGTCGACAGCTCACATCCTGCAGACGTGAATTCAGCAGATGCACTGCAACGAACACCGATTATTCATTCATTTGTTCATATGTTTAGACGTCAGAATATAACTGGTACTAAACTAAACGAACTGCGTTATTTCAACAACTGAAGACGCTTCAGTGAATGGTGATTGTGATGGATATTGGCATGAATACCATACACTCTTCTATCAATTCTGTCATCGATAATGTAGAAAAAAAAAATTCTCGATAGCTGTGGATTTGATGGAAATTTAACAAATTAATTCGGCTCAAAAAGTTTTTGCTATATTATTATGGATACTTCATCATTATGGATTTTCATTTGTAGTTGAGATTCGTGAATGGCATAGAATTAATTGCTTCTGCAATCGCAGTCAACAATTTAAGTCGCCAGTTTAACTGAATGCAATGTATTTGCTATCATACCACGCAATGAGTTC